TTTCAAAAATACAAGAAATGTAAATGTATAATAGGCGAATGGAAAGCTATCGGAAAGACCTACATTAATAAAAAAAAAACGTTTAAATCCTTATTTTTGGCTCGGCACAAATGACCTGGCGTAAACAGTGTCTTTCTTTTCAAACGTTCTGACTGGGTTGAATTTCTTGTTTTCTCACCATATCCTTTGAAAAAGCGGGAAAGCCTTGTCGATCAGGGTAGTTAGCACGTGACCATTCCTCTGGATGGACTGGCACCTTCTTTGACATCTTGCGGGATTGTTGACATTCTGCGCATGTAGGTAGGTACTAACCAAGTCTTCAATTTCTCTGTCCATATTAAGGCGCCAAACATAGGATCGAGCTAAACCCTTCATACCTGGATACGTGAAGTGTAGAATGCTTAGGATGCATTTCCTCCCTACCGGTAGTATTACCGTGGTACCCCATAACCAACAATCATGATAGCAGCTAACCTCAGCCATATGTCGTAAGTAAGGTAAATATTCCTCTGAAAATGTGTCATTATTTGACTGTTGAATAACTTTCGACAAAACGGGGTTCTTTTAGTCTCTGATGTTAATTCCCTTGACGAAAGACTCCTTTCAGGAATGTTCTCCAGCATAAGGACATCCCCGGCGAATTGTGGGTCAACGGGACGTCGGAGGCGGGTACCGACAAGGGGAATGTGGTAGCTAGCGATCTTGTTGGTGGTAGGTAATACAATACTGATCTGCTACACAAAAATGCGCTGATCTCCCTTCGATCCCACAGGAGGACTGATAATTTTTTAATCTACCTATGCTTTCGATAATTCCACTGTAGGTTTGACGGTTAGCCAAATGAACTATTTTCGTAAAGCAGGTGAATGTCGTGTTGGAATTGGAAAATTTCCGAAAATCTATTAAAACATTTTTTGTAATGGAAAATGAGTCATTTATTTTGTTGGAAATTAGATCCGAATTCAGATATATAATTTGATAAATGGGGGAAGGTTGAAAACGCACCAAATACCGGGCTACATTGCGGAAGCCATGCGAAATAACGAAAACTGTCCATCTAATTGAAGAAAAGTACCATTCTTACATCCACGCACCTGTGAAAATCGTTATCATATAAGTTTAGAAATCTATGGGGCCGTAGTTTGATCGGATGTCGTAATTGTTTAAATAAATTTGTGCTATGAACCACAAAAATTGAAGACCAGTTTTTCTTGTTTCGGAAATTGTTCCCTTCATTACCCAAGTCCAAATCTCAAAAAGTCATTATTGTAAATCCCTATAGTATAGGAAGTCAAGTAAGTAGGAACGTTATCTTAGAAAGTAATACATTAGTAATCTTATGTAGTACTTAGGTATACGTTTTCAACTTTGATTTCCTATTCTATATTCAAAGGTTTCCAGTATTACTAAAACATCACTAAACGTTAGGAGAAAGTTGAAATTCCATAAATAAGTTACTTTTGTGTGAATGAGATTAAATTGTCTTTGTTGTTGAATAGCCGCTAATGAGGGCCTGGAACCTGGTTTTATTGTAGGAAGATGATGTAATTTGCAGGTAGCTTATGCCTGGTGAAACTTGTCGAATTGCACGATTGGTTGCCTATATAATTATTTACGTAGGCGCAGCTCAAATTTTGAACGGCCTGTCCCTAGCCGCCTTATGTTACGATGTTACAAGGGTAGCCATTTTGATTTTGGAGTTACACAAGTTAATCTCCGTCGATCGATTTTACCTTTTAGCCTGGGAATCCGGTACGAAGAATATCCTATCCTCGTCGTCAAAATAAACCATATCCGGGTTTATCAATAAGAACTAGAGTTGTGCTCTCACTACCTTTATTAATATACCCAACTACAAAACACATGTCAGCTAACGGTGTTGTTAAGGCATGTGATTGGATGTTTTTGTAAAGAATGATCCCAGTAACTTTTTAAAGCAATTTAATAGATGGCTCCATCTATTTTCGGAATTTAACAACGCAATTTTACCGCACCGTGTCGATTTTTCACTACCTTTCTTTCGCGAACCGTGATAAAGTACACTTCGTTTAAACAAACAGCTGAAGCGTTTGTTAGAACGCATGGGATTTTAATTGCCATCATCCAAATATATCGATCTCTGGCGATTGGATTCATAATTTGGGGATTCCGTAATAACTAGTTTAGACGTGATTTCACCTAGAGTGAGGATTTTAATTGCGTTCTTCCTTCTTATCGTTCGGCCCCCCCCCCCCAGCACATGACAGAAGTAAGTAAACTTCTTTTATTCACGATCATATTGTAATCAGTCTCATAATTGTCATTTTGAAGGATAAGGAAGTTGTGTTTTACAACACTTATTTTTCCAGGAGGGAGGAAAGTAGATTCTCGAGGTTAGTAATGTTCGATTCGAGGTTAGTAATATTCATTACCTACCTCGATTTAGTTGCTAATATCCTAATGGATGGCGCTCTCATCGTAACTGTCTCACACAGATGACAGCTGATTTAGATGCAAATTGTTCAAAACCGCATTTTAAAAACAATTCTTATTCTTATTATGAGTAATATGGATTATTTTAAGTTCTGTGCTTTTTTTGTAAATTGCAAATGAACGACCAAACGCGAAAAAGTGAAATAAGTAAATGCGTACCGAAGTAAACACAAGTAGGAGTTGTGATTAACTTTAGCCAGATTACGGGAAATGATGGTTTGTTTCACGTAACCTAAAACTAAACGAGCGCGGTGCTAAATGGTTAAGTAAAAACAAAAGCAAAAAGAAACCGTTAATTATTAAAGGATCGGTAAGTATATAAAACTCGAACTTGAGTTTAATGAAATTGATTGTTACTTTAGAGAGCCCATTACTGTTTAAATTTCTGGGTGGAAAAGTTCAATTCTTGTCTATAAGACATGGAAACATTGGGTTGCGCTTGCGACCCATGAGAAGAGCAAGGGATGGCAATTTATGGCATCATAATGTTGCATATCGAAGACGTAGCACTACCTGAAGAGGATACTGCCATACTTTGTTATTTTCGCATGCCCGTAAAGCGAACGGGCCACTGAATTGGCGACGAAACCTCCTGCTAGTGCAGCCAATTTACAGCCACCGAACTGTTTTAAGTTGAAGAACTCCACTGGCACTTGCTAATATTGTAGCGATCATATGCCAAAAACAATGTCCGGTAATTAAATGTAATTTGTCACATTTTAGAAATAGATAATGCTATTTTTTAGGGCTATTGTATTGGAACAGGTGTTTAGTGACTACCTGATTGGATCTGGAGAATAAATCTTTCGTTATTGACATCTGCACAGATTATAATACTAATATTGTAACCCAGTCGAAATCTGTGATCACAAAAGATCGCTGTAGGTACATTTTAGAATAATAAAACTGACATGGTCATTAGGCATTACCGCATTAGGTTTGAATGTGGATCACAACATTATTTGGTCGTTCATAATGTGTATGATTTCTTTACCTTTACCTCATTAAAATAAGCAACTAAAACATGAAGTTTTACCTATACCCTTTCCTGCCCACCATTGTTCATTAACTTCAAAAATTCATTCGGGGAGTAAATTTTTTACTACACTCAATTTCCCTTATTTGAGGGGATGAACATTGAAATTCTTTAGTATGGGCCATTTTTTAACATACATGTTAAATTAATATGAATATTAATTAGGTAAATTTCTAAATCTGTATTACCGACAACATTTTATGTAGGGCAATATTATTGCAGATGGCGCATAAGATGAATATAATACGTATAAATTTAGTGAATTATTTTATTTTTGATAATGGAACGATTGTAATGATGATCGTGAATAAAATCGTATACGAACCTCGACGAAAGGTTATTTTTCTTAGAATATAATCACCCTCGGCGCTGCGCGCCTCGGGTGATTAAAATTCTTCGAAAAATAACCTACTTTCGCACTCGGTGCGTAATATACTATTCCTATACTTTCAGCAAAGAGTACCCAATTACTCATGGGTTTCCGTTAACCATCTGTTTCTTGCCATGAGACACTAACTTTACGATCCGTATCTTGTACAAGTATCATAACCGCACTAAACGAAAACCTGTAAGCGAAACTTTAAGTTTCACATTTTTTGATTACTTACAGCATTATTAGTTATCACTATACCTATTACCAAGTCATAGTGTGCTTAAACTTAAATTTACACAAGAAATACGTCGACAGTGAAATATTAATTGGGCATTCTAACAATTTAATTTTAATTTAGATATGACAAAGAAATCAGCTCTACCAACCAATTTTTAGTGATGTTTTTGCCGGTCTAGGTCCGAAAAGGATAAGTTTCGGGACGCTTTTGGCTACACAAAACAAAGCTTTGAAGGACACAGACGCAAAAAGTTAATTTAAAACAAAACAAGGATCACAATTAATTTAATATTGATTTTTGGTAGACCAATACGTGCTATATATGGTTATACAAAAACAGGACAACGTCTGTCGGGTCAACTAGTTTCCAATAAAAGAGGTTAGTTAACCCAGCGTATAAACTTAGTGTTCAAAATATGTTAACACTTATCGCCTAATTCTGAGAGCGTTTGCGAGAGGGAAATCGTGTGCATATAGCGTAAGAAACAAAATTAAACTAGTAAGTAGTAAATCGATTACCTCAAGATAATGCTAACCTTCCAAGATGGGAGCAATTTAACTTTTTAATTAAAGCTTAATTAGAAAGTGTTGTTGCTCTTGCTATCAACAATTATCTTTTTGTTGAACATATTTATTATCCGACTCCATTTAAAATCAGATAGATTTTCTTAGAGCGTTTTACGAACACAACACAACTACAACAGTTTCAGCAGATACAAAAGGACAATAGATTCCAATACAAGCTCACCTATGTTCTCTAAGTAAATCGCGTCTTAAAGCTATTGTAGTCTACTTCATCAAAAATAGAAAGAAACCATATTGCAGAAACGTATTGGCTCCAAACGAGCTAACAACTTTTTATTTGTGCATTGAAACACTCACCTTTCCAAAGCTTCCCTTTCCAATTGCTCTTAGAATTTGAAAGTGATCGAAGTTCACTGTAACACAAAAAATTACATTAATATCTTGAAAAAGTGGGAGCTTGACTAGTAGTTTACATTTTTAGCGCATTTTTGGAAAAAATACGCTATTATATTCGTTATGGCTGGCTGGCCGGCTGTCCGAGTGAGATCTCAGCAACTACAATAGCTAGAGACTTCAAATTTTCACTAAAAGTTTGCTGATATAGTGTAGATGTGCAGGCTCTAGTCTATTTTGAGTTAAATTACTTGTGAGATCGATAATTGAAGAAAATAATTTCGATATGGTTTTCGGAGGTGCTATAATTTTACCGTTAGATAGCGCTACCAGTATAAAAACTTATTTATTTACTTTGTGATTTGTTTTATAAAATAAAGACGTACCCTCAATTGAAATTAAATAAAATTAATTATTTAACGCAGCCAAAATTACTCGTGAGATCGATAATTTTAAACTTCGCTAATAAAATACTGACCTGCATTACCAAAAATGCGCTTTAATCATGCATATGCTGATTTACAACTTGTTTAAGTTTGATACGCTCGTTTAAACTTCCATGTTCGTGGAAGATATACTTATAACGATTGGAACACTTCGAAAAGTAATCTGTAGCAACGTAATTGGTTCCTAGTGATGTCCTTAACTTCTGTATGGAGACGAGTTGCTAAGCAACAATATTCTGATTGGCGTACAGTTTTTCTGCACCTTTTCTTATTTTAGTTACTGTTATAAGCGGAATTACAATGCATAACCGAATATTTAGCTTAAAGTTTAAATTTCCCGCCAGGTTAAAGATATTTGTTTTTTAAAATACCAGCTGCAGTCAAAAGGTGCAAGATCTATTCAAAATACCCGACAAGAAATGTTGAAATCTATTATACGTCGCTGCAAAACTTATGTCTTTTTCTTCGCATGGGCTAGGTAAAGATGAAGATATGATAGCATTATTTGCGCAGGCGACGAGTTTTGCAGTGGGCGGCTACGTGTGATGATTGACGTGACTGTTTTTATACTAGAAGAGCAATAGGAAAAACAATAATGTGCTTTCGCATGAAATAACATTTACTTCGATCATTCAACACAAATAAAACTGTTCTACACGCTGTTACACGTACTATCCACTAAATAGAGGTTACATACCCCCGTAGTCCTGCGATTAGATTTCATCTAAGGAGGTTGTAATATTTCCGACTTAAAATAGAGAGCAGTGTCAGAATCAAAAGGATAGGGGCGTATTTTATGCAAAGGTCATAAATTGTGAACTACATAAAAACGTTATTGCGAATGACAGAAACATAACGTTAAATAGGGCTTTTCTATTTCATTTGAATGTTTTGAACTCTCTTAGTTAAACATATGGATTTTTAATCAAAAATTGGAAATTTCTTATAAATAGTAGCTTTTAATAACCAAAAATAGGTACACAATTACTTACGGTAAAACTTTCCTGAAAATGTCCTTCAAATTTTGATAGCAAATTGAACGATTTGCTTGTCAAATCAAAGACCAAACTATACCGTAACGTTTTGAATATATTGATTAATATTTTACGATACTTACTTTTCCGATCACATTTCCTTTTGTACAACTTTTATTATGAAATTCTAACTAATTATATAGCAAAAGAAGACTTGGGGAAGATATTTTGAATGAAATATTCTTAATTTAAACACAAAAATACACCATGATCTTCATTTTTACAGAAAAAATAGATATTTTATTTTATAGCATATGTTAAATTGACATTTTAATAAGTTTGAATGAGTAGGATAAGCCGTTCTTTAACCGTAAGGAAAGGTAAAGTGATTACTGTAATCGTAAGGGTACCTAAAGGGGATCAGTTGATTGTACATTCTAATGACATAATTATGTCATTCTTATTTCAAATGCTATAACGCGCGAGCTGCAAAAGGCAAGGCGCTACAAAAAATACCATGTGCTTTTTAAATTAGAACACACGCCGCTGACCGGCCAGCTAGCTCTGTTGACAAAAGGGTAAACAGCGGAGAGAGCAAGACAAATATACAGGGAGGGACGTAGGTAAAAGAATTCAATACAATTGGTAATGGCTCCGTAGCTATCCTCGATTTCAACTCAATCTTCTCTACTTACGGTTAGTGGTTCTGGTAGAGTCTTTTGGGCGCCACCTAATTCGTCTAATTTCGCTTATAACTACCCGAACTAGGAAAGGTAGCTTAGCTTGAAAAATATGTAACTATAATCCCACAAAAATAATTATTTATTGGGGTGCTCTGCACCTTCATAAAAGCACAACCAAAGCTTCGGTTCCCCAATGGGAATCCCAAAAACTTAGGTCCAACTATGAGGCTTAAAAAATAAATACTCCAAATTAATTCAAACATAAAACATTTACAAAAAAAAATTTCCCCATGAAATACGGAATAAAACCCACCAGAATCTCTGGGGTCAGAACACAAATATTGTTACCGTGGCACAAGTGATGAATTAGATAGTGATTTCAATCCCTTAATCGGTAGCTTGGGGGCAATGAAGTGGTTCAAGTCGTTACGAGCTCGTACGTTACATACTGGTTATTACTTCGTACATGGGAGTAATACTTAAGTGATTATCAATTATCGTATCTCAATATTCCAAGCTGACTAATTAACAGTATTACTATTGGCTTTAGTGCATATGCCAATTACCACAATGTGGGTCCAATTCAATACAAACAGATAAATTTATAACATTTACATCACCACAGGATCAAATATTTACGTCTGAATGGCTCCTCTGGGTCCTGGTGTAAGTCTTCTACGTAGTGCAATAAAAGGTGTCGGTTATTAGAAGAGTTCGGCTTAGCCCGCAAGATCGTAACGTTGCAATGCTAGATTTTACGGCACTGCTCTGCAATATTCTGTCGCCTAACTTCCCAAGTTCAATCCATCCTCAATAACACCATTCGGTACGTAGATCGGTACAAGGATTTTATCTAGTACAAGGACTCCTATCCAATACAAGGACTCTAAAAATATAACCTAATTACGACTGGTTCTCACTTAAATATAGACGAACGAACTACAAAACAAAAAAAACTTCGTCAAACAGCAAGTAATGTAAAAGGCGTTATATCGTGGATCGGATCGGTATCGATGAGTGTTTCGGCTTCAAGATTAAAATTCCATTTCGGAAAGTTGCTGTCGATTTAGATTCATTAACGACACAACATTTAAGTTCGTTGGCAAGTAAAAATGCTTTCGCAAATGGTTAATTCACCAACGGAACATGAAGATGGTAAAACACACACGTTCCTCTTGCAAGTTCTAGCGAGAAGACCCCACTTTCTTTCCGAATTTCCGGCTAGTGCAACGAAGAAATTTATCTCCAACCAATTAAATCACAGAACGGCCTTTACAATACCATATAAGGAAATCTCCAAAACGCTTACGAAAACGGAAATGAATTATCACCAATACGAACATAGATAGATATGAAAATAACACCAACGCAAATGCATAAAGTTACTAGATGGGTTGCATTCAGCGCGGCGCAAAAAGTTATACACAGAGTGAATAAACGTGAAATATAGACAGCATGTTGGCATTGTTTTAAAACTGTTACAATGCACGATATAGAATGACGTTCAGAACATATGACAATTCTGTTTCTATGGAGGAACAAAAGTGGCCACAATAATGTATCATTTATTTATATAGTATTTTACATTATTAGCCAGGTAAGTGAGTTTTTACTGGCGATAGGAGAAGTTGACTGGCGAGCCGTCAGGCGAGCCTGTCATCTCCTATAACCAGTAAAAACTATTACCTGGCGTATAGTGTACAATACTTTATTTGTTACTCATTTGTAAACGTAAATAGTTAGTTCTTAAATTAATCTCGAAAAAATTTTTTTTAAATATCATATTATCCATGTAACAGAGATTTCGCATTAATTCTGGCCAATGAAATTCCTAGATTACTAGCTTGTAAAATTTTTACACGTCAGCTGTCAGTTTTACAAGTCAGTAGCGTTTAAAGATGACGTTTACCCGTTTGCGTTTTGTCTTGTTAATCAACGTTTACAACTGAGTAACAAATAATAGTATTTTACATTATTAGCCAGGTAAGTTAGTTTTTACTGGCGATAGGAGAAGTTGACTGGCGAGCCGTTAGGCGAGCCTGTCATCTCCTAGAGCCAGTAAAACCTATTACCTGGCGTATAATGTACAATATTTGATTTGTTACTCATTTGTAAACAATAGTAAACGTAAATAATTAGTTCTTAAATTAATCTTGAAGAAATATCTAAAATATCATGTTATCCATGTAACAGAGACTTCGCATTAATTCTGGCCAATGAAATTACTAGATTACTAACTTGTAAAATTTTTACAGGTCTGCTGTCAGTTTTACAAGTCAGTAGCGTTTAAACATGACGTTTACCCGTTTGCGTTTTGTCTTGTTAATCAACGTTTACAACTGAGTAACAAATAAAATATTTTATTATTTATACTATTTTTTATTATACCTGAATTACAATCTCCGTTTTACCTTTGACATTTCCTTCATAAATGCCAGCATTATCGATGCATTTCAGACTTTATCGTAAGTACCTTCCTATTCATTCATGGAAACAACTTTTCATATGTTCTGTATAATAGGCTTTACTGGATTTGGATTTTACACCTACCAACGTTTGTTTAGATTTTACAAGCGATTTAATGAACGGTGTATCATCTTTTTCAATGGAAATCGTTTAATTCACAAAGACGATGATTTTTATAAGCAAACGTCAAGTGACATTTCCATGGCAATCGTGAAATTACGAACACCCAGCCCACTTAATTAGACATGTATTCGAGTAGGTATAACGTCAATATGATTGCATTGTAATTCCTATTTTTAAGCGGGTATAATAATAAATACTATAAGATACACGTCGCATCGTGCCATTAAACTCGTTCCGCGTGCTTTAAATACACTTGTATCTTAATATACTATTAAATAACTTCAGTAAAGAATAAAAATGATTTGCAAAATTTCGGTTTTTTCGGATATCTCCGGAAGTAGTCGGAATTTGTTCAGTTTCAAAACTGCATTTTGTTAAGCATCAAAATACGCAACTTTGCCAAATTTAAACTACTTACATATTGTTGTGTTATTTTGTTTTAGTTGTAACTTGAAAGAAATTATAGAGCGTCTGGATGTGACAATTTTGTTTAGTTCAATTAATTAACCGGGGGGGTTATTAATAATTTGAGACACAGGATTGCGTAAATTTCATGTTATAGTTTTGGTTCAATTTCTTAGAAGTGTTCTGTTTTTATTTTATTCCTAGAATTTTTTTCGATGTAAATTTCTTTTTAAATTTTATTTGCCGTTAACGAGGTATAGCGCGAAGTAGAGATAAGGTTCTGCGCAGAATTGCCGGGCGTACGTGCCGTTTAGCAAGAAGTTGAAAAATGGACGCTTCGCGTGATTGGCGGGCGGGATGTTGAAGAAAGGAGAAGGGCTTTTGGCTTAAATAGAAAATTTTTGAAGAGAGCGGGGCTTTTTAGTCGTTACAAAGCCAACCGGCGCTTCTTCGGTTACGTTATTTTTTGAATTTTGTGGAAGTTTCTTGCGTAGTGGATCCAGGTTTAATTAGAATTTTGTGTCTGCCGTTTTAAGAAGAATTTTTGAGAAGTTTAAGAAGTTTGTCGTCGTCCTGTTTTTTTTTTTATTTTGCGGAAACACGGAAGTTTTGAATTTGTGGGTACCCGAAGAGAGAAGACGTCGGTGTTTGAGTGTTTGGTTTGCGTGATTGTGTACGGATACCTCTTTTTATCGGAGTACGTTATTCGGACTAATTTTAAAAGTAAGTAGTAGTTAGTGGTTTGTTTTGTCTTGTTTTGTTTGTAATGTTTGAGTAATTTGTTTTTTTTTGTGTGTGTCATTTATCTGTTTAAAATTGTAACAATTTGTAAAACAGAAATTTACGCAATTTTTTGTCTGAAATTAAACCAGTCATTGCAATCCAGGTTTTGTTTATTAGAGTCAAAGAGAGGTAATTGTCGGCGTCTCTTACTTTGTTTCAAGTTTATTAAATCTGGGGGTAAAGTTTCATATTGGAATTTAAGGGAGGTATTAGCCACCGACCTGGCGAGGTTGCTACCCCCTTGTCCGGACGAAGAAAAGGGGTGGTCGGACTCATTTTACGGGCCCTGAGATTTGTGTTTTTAAGAGTTTGTGTGGGATTGAGCTAGTAAGGGTAAGTTGTGTGGGTATCTTTCAGGCTTAGGAAGTTTACACAACAATATCTATCTCTTACAGTTCCGATAACGCCATGGTAGCCCTCGAATTTGAATCAGCCTGTATAGACCTGACAGGACTATTACCGGAGATCCAAAGTTTCAAGTACATCCTAGCATACATCGACCGTTATACCCTATGACTGGAAGCCACACCCATTAGAAGCATCGATGCTGAGACCGTCGCACGCGAATTTGAGAACACGTGGATTTCACGATTCGGTGTACTGTCGAGTCACCACCGACCAAGGACGACAATTCGAGGCAACTATTTTCAGCCGAATTCGGACCACAGCATATCACCTTCAAAGCGAACGACAGGGTGGAGCGACCCCATCGACAATGAAAGGCATCCCTCCGTTGCCAAGAGAAACAAGGATGGATTCAACCACTTCCCATGGTACTTCTGGGAATATGAAATTCTGGGGGGGAGAGGGATCACAGATGGTGTACGGAAAAATCCTTTGATTCACCGGATAATTTCAAGCACCGTCAACGCAGACAACTTCGCTAGACCCGCAAACGTACGTGACACAGCTACGAAACTACACGCAGAGACTTTACACGACACCTCTACGCTCCAAGGCAGCATCAAATTACGATGCGAAGAGGAAGCCTTTCATCCTCAAGAATGCAAACACAGGCATCTAGGTATACGTTAGAGTGGATGCAGCGAAAAAGCCGTTACAGCCACCATACGAAGGTCTGTATCCGGTACTCGAACGGATGGACAAGCTTGTCACCATCCAGTAGAAAATAACTACATTGCCATAAGAGGCATTATTGTCATTGGGAACCAAATGAAATGAATAGGTCATGGTGTCGACCCAATACGAAAAATCTAAGCCCTCATTGCCAACAAAAACAGTTAGGGGGTGCCTGCATGTGTTGCAGGGTGGACGACGAGAGACATATTATGCCTGACGATTGGTCTATTGGCCGCGAGGGTCCTAGATCGAAACAAGATGTGTATCTTCAATAATAAAGGTGAGTTTACAGTATATTCGCCGCATTGTAATAATTGAGATCTGATCTACAATTAGGTACCCCCATTTAATTAACTTTTTCCCTTAGTAGAAGTACCTGTTCCCTTACATGCGTATTTTGGCGGGCGCTTGATTTAAACATCTCCTGTGAAAATAAATGAAATGAAATTTTATTGGTAAATCTAATTTTTGTGGCCTTTTGAATTTTCAGTAACAAATAGTGGCCTGACAGTCTCACTTATTTTTTAGCGCATTTCCCAACGAAGTTGGGTGCGCTATTGAAGCCACTTTCTCTGTCCGTCCGTCTGCCCGAGGCCTTAACTACTCATACAGTTTTCAAGATATCAAGTTCGTTCTTTTTGCATTCGGTAGCGTTTAGCTCTAAGACCTGAGCCAAGGAAAATCTTGACAATTAAACTGCGCATGCACAGACTGCGCAATGTCAACTTCCTTATTTGTTAATATATTTTGTTGAAATTTTAACCACAGATACTTCTGGTGAAGGCAAATATATCGCATATTGTAAACATCAGATTAATGTGCGCATGCGCATAATGAGCAATATTAAATGTCCTATTTATCGAGATATCTTTTTCAAATTTTAATCACAGATGCTTCTGTTAAAGGCAAACTTCACTGATATTGCAAAAATTAAATGTGCGCATGCGCAATCAGTGCCAACTTCTTTATTTATCCAGATATTTCTTTGAAATTTTAACAATAAATGGTTCTAATAAAGAAAAGCATATCACATTGTAGTAAAAATCGAAAACTACGAATGTCATTAGGAAAAGCAAACATATCACACATAGTAAAAATCAAATCCACGCATGCGCAGACTGCAAAATGCCAACTTTTTTACTTATGAAAATCTCTCTCTAAAGTTTAACCATAAACCCTTCTAGTAAAAACAAACATTGCATAATTACCTATAGCATAAATTAAACGTGCTCATGCGGAAACTGCGCAACGCCAACTTTTTTCTTTATGGAGATTTTTCTTTGAAATTTTAACCATATATATCACAGTGCACATAGCTATGGCCTTTTGGGAAGCACTGATCATTCATGGGAAATGCGCTGAAGTTACTCGCCTTAGGGGCGAAAACCTTTGCGTTAGCCCTGGAGTTTGGGAATAAAGACAAATCTAACACCAGTTGCAAATTTTGGTTTTGCGCATGCGCAATGGCAACTTTCTTATTTATGAAAGCAGTTAAACGAAATATCATATGTAGGCGCCTTGAATGAAACTAAAACTAATACCTGTTTCAAAATTACTGTTTACGCATGCTGTATGCTTTATTTACGAAGGTATTCAATGAAATTTCTAATGTAGACAATGCGCAATGCTATTTACGAAAGTATTTAAAAAAAGTTTCGTATGTAGACACTTCGAATAAAAGTTGAACTAATAGTGTCCATTTCAAAATTTGTATGTATTTGTATACGCACTACTAGTTTTCATTAAACTGTAGAGACTTCGATGATAGGCGGCTCATTTGAAAGAGAATGGGGTAAGGTATCTCGTCCCTACCGGTATTTTTCCTGGTCCTAGCATTAATATTATTAAAGGGAAAATACGCTCTCGTCATTTATGTTTGCATAATGACTTTTTAAACTTGTGTATTTTTGTGTGGGTCATAAGCTGGGCAACGCGAACAGGTGGTTCACACAGCAGTATATTTACAGGTTACGCCAAATTACAAACATAATTACATACATAAATATATAAATAAATGTATGGACGGAATTTGATTGCATTTTTAAAATATAGCATTAAAATAGTAGTTATTGCAATCTTTGATGTAGTTATACGAGTACGCGTTCAGACTTTACATCTTGCTTCTGAATTTACTGTGAGTCTGTGACTGAGCAGAACAAAATAATATAATCTACTTACTAATGGGGTTTTCGATTTACTGTCAGCGTAGCGACACCATCATTTCATATCCATGCGCGAATGAAATTGTGATTTATGAATTAATTTCGTAGCAAAATTGTGTACTCATTTATCTTAATTAAATAATAATAATGTAATGCAATTCTACTTTTTAACGTCATTTAATTTTGAGTACCTATCAAGTAAATTGATCGTAAACAAATTTGGCCATAAGATCCAGAGCCCATTCCGGTTGATCGCGTGGGATCATATGGCCCGCATTTCTAACCAGCACCTCCGTTAAATTCCCCGCTCGTTTGATGTATCCCGCCAACTCGTTATTGACATACCAAAAGTCCCTCTCGCTCGATTTATACTCGTCGACGTTTGAAAAATTGAGCTTTTCAAGGAAGTTTGTTACGGTGGGGTACGGAACTATGATATCCACTTGACCGCAATAAAACATCATTCTGTAATTGCTCAGCAACTCCGAAATCCAAGGGGCGACTGATTGAATGAATTCCTCCTCTAAATGTTTGTCCACCGCGCTGCCATCATGAAAAGTGGACGTTCCAACATGAATTGCTCTTCTAACGTCATCACGCTGTAAATACTCAACGTAGTACTTCAAGGAACTGTCTTCCAATTTTAAATAATTCATTGGTTCCTTAAAACCAGTAACGTTTTGGAAGAAAGTGTTATTTCGAGCTTCGTAAATCAGCTCACCGAATACGTTTCCAGCCGCCGTCCACTTCTCCTGCTTTATTAATTCAATAGCCATTTGTTCCATTTGCTTCATTGTTTGTTTCGACTTGGAGTCGATTAAGCCGATTTGGTAGAGGTAGTCGCTGAAATCGAATTGGTTCACTGGATCTGAGTAAGCGCTTCCAATCGCGATTCCCTTCAACTGAATTTTGTTTGTTGCTGCTTTTAGAATGGTGTATGCGAGTGCAGGGGCGTATTTTCCGGCATACGATTGTCCGGCAATATAAAACTCGTTGTTTGCCAATTCTGGGAATAGGATGAAAAATTGGGATATGGCTTCGTACAGTTGCTCGCCTATTATTGTTTGATTCTGTGCATAACCACCATCATCCGTAAAACTGAAGCCGGTGCCTACGGGATTGTCTACGTAAAGCATGGAAAATTTCTTGGTCCAACGATGCTCGCGGATTTCTATTTGATAGAAGGAATTCACGATGAAAGGTCCGTGTTCGCCGAAAAGTCCAATCATAGATGAAGCACCTGGGCCGCCTTGAAGCCATAGGACAACGGGTGCGTTCAAGTAGTCACATTCGCAGGGGAAGAACCAAAAGAAGGTGTTCGAATTATAACGCTCATTAACTGTCAGATACCCAGAGTAACTTTTAATGTCGCGAAATTCGTCGAATACAACTTCCGCTTGTAACTTTGCCTCTTCAACGTTGAATGACTTTATTAAAGGTGTTAACATTAAGGGCTCTTGGTAACCGTTCCTTACACTTTCGCTGGATACCTTCCCGTTATATAACAACACAACGACAAATAACGGCACAAGTTTATTAAGCATTCTTGCGATTACTGAGATTAGGAAACAGCTGATGAGTTTCTGGCTCAAAATATAAAAGTCGTATAATTAGACAACAACTGCAATAAGTTGTTATCCAATGGACATTTTGATCTCTGACATATATTTAATCCCTATCACAACTAATTAGTTGTGTAGAAATCGACATTGTGCCATTGGTTTTTTTATTTGCCTGCAATTATGTTTCGCATCAATTAAAAATTACGTATGTGGTTGTATATCATTTTCTTCGTGTGCATCCAATCCAAAATTTCTTCGCATTCCGTTATGAAAAATTACTAAAAACTCTACTCTACCTGTATATTATGTGTTCATTTTGAAAAGATTCCCATGTCCGCGAAAATTTAGGAATCATAAAAAAACCAGGAAAAATTAGTTAAGGCTAATTTTGTTTAGAAGTAACAGTAATGAAGTAATAACGTTTAATAATAACAAGGAACTGCTGAACAACAAGGAAAATGCGTAGATCAGGAAGCAAAAATGCAAACGATAGTAGGTAATTAAGCACATTGTTGACAAGGTTGTCATACTTAGCATTACTTTATAGTTAAGCGATAGGTTATTAAGGATTAAGGAAGTAAGTCTGTGATATAAATAGCATATATATAGTTCTTACATTACAATAAATATTATCCGTTAGCATTTCGAACTGTCGGTATCATACCCTGTTGTGTTAGATTTACTTATGTTCGTTAGGATTTACAACCCTAGCCACTGTACATACAAGGTGAGTCACGGGAACCAGACGTTTTTAGAACGCATAGTGCACGACTTAGGTAAGTGAGGTTAGTGGAATTTGATCCATTACGCCGAAGCCGCGTGTTTGTTTACGAGGAGTTTTGGAAGGTACGGGAACCGTTTTTCTTTGAAAAAAATTGGAAAACAGTGACTGTTCTTCTGTTGGCTATGTGAACAATATGTTTCAAACTTTTCTCTTAATCGAACTTCACAGACGAGGTATTGCTAGCCCATCAGTGTCGTGGTTTCAACAGGACCGCTCATACAGCAAGGACTTCCATGGTTGTTGTTCGCCCTGATTTCAGGTTTCGGAGAAGTCTCATGGCCGCCGAACTCTTCCGATCTGTAATTTTTACTTGTGGTTTGTGGTTTACCTAAGCGCAACTTTTTTACATTATGGTGTATAGATGATTATTATTATAGTTGCAAGAAACAAGGTAGTATTCTTGCTTAGTCAACTCCTATTTTGGTCCTTAGTTCCCGTCGACACTGTGTAGCGGCGCTACTTGTTACACTCAAATTGTTGATTTACCGCCCGCCAAGATACAGACTTTATTTACATAAAATATGATTTCATTTTTTGGGGTAATGTTTAAAAGTAACTTATCTAGAAAACTGTTGGTTTACTTTTTCCATAAACCGTTTTGTTCCAGAGTAAAAAAATAAAACAGTTCCGCGCAATAATCGATGCAAAACATCTAATCTTTAAACAATCGATATTCAGTTGCTATAAACTTTTTTAAAAAAATAGCCCGAACATTTTGTATATAAAGGTCTAAATTTATAAAATAGTTCTTTTTGAAAGCAACTTGAGTTTTTATGGCGGGCGCTCTTATGGAAATTTATATTGGGTGCAGTGGGTACAGAAGACTTAAAATCAAACGTATATGAGCATAAACCCGTGAAAATGGGCGTCATTGGTCAGACATTTTTTGTGCTTAGGCGTATAAAATGGCATATTTTAACACTTTTTCTATAAAAATAAAACTTATTTTATTCTAAAATTAAAAATAACTCTTTATTGAAAAACGTCAGTTTCCCGTGACTCACCTTATACTTACCTAATACCATAGTGTACCTAAGTACAGCATGCTAATACTACCAATTTAATTTTTTACTATAATATTTGGACCTTTTGTGTTGAATATTAATATTTCCCTTCGTATTTTACCAATACAATGGAGTTTTAACTTTCTATGTTTGCATAGAAATTAACTTTTTTTAGCGGTCACGTGAAAGATCGGGTCTTAGTGAAATACTTATGACAATTATCTAACCACCTTTTGCCATTAATTTGGTGGATTTTCTTAATTTGACCTTTGTAGTCTGTAACGAGCACTATTTTGATTTTTTATGGCGTACCGGTTTAACACTCGCACTTTAACCTCACAGATTGTGAGTTCGAATCCCACAGCTTACCAGTTTTTAGTGGTACAGAATATCTCCTAATCACTATGCTTCGAAAGTTCGAAGGGCATGTAAAGCTCGCGGTCCCGGCAGTCATACCACGACTGTCGTTAAGTTGTTGAAGCTGTTGATGCGACCTGAAAACGTCTGTATCTAGGGAGAGACAATTTTTTTGTTTTATTATTTCCTCATATAATGCTGTTTGTATTTAGTTCTTCTGCTCCTATTGTTATGACTTTAGATTTTGTTATATTTATATTCATGCTAGTACCTATTTATTTCTCATACCACACTTTCCTATTGTTCTGCAAGGTTGAAAGTTTGTAATTATTATTATATCGTCCTCAAAAGCGGATTCGGATACTAACACTATTCATCTGCCTATAGCTCTATATACTATGATTTTTTTACGCATTTCCACACAAATAAAAAAAAATTCGCTATTGTGGCCACTTTGTCCGTCCGCCCGTCTGTCTGTCCGTCCGTCCGCTCGTTCGTTGAGACGCTACTAGTTCTTTATATTAAGAACTATTGTTCTACTTTTTTCGCTATTTGGTTCGTTATGGTGTCGAGGCTTGCACCAAGGAAGAAATTTTTTCTGCGTTTATTATTAAAAAAGTTATTGTAAAAAAACCAAAAAACCGTTTTACATGTTCCATAATTTTACACTTTTGCCGTTTATTAACGATCCTAGAGATCGTTTATAATTTTGTATTGCTGCTTTGTCTGTCTGTCCCTCTATCTGTCCGTGTGAACGATAACTTTGTTTAGAAATGTCCGATCGCTTTGACATCTCCGTTAGTTATGAATTGAATTGCATGAAATTCAATATGGGCATAGCTTTAGCCATATAATACGCAATGCCAAAAGTTGAATCGAATCGATTCAAAATTCACAGTTCCCTTTTCGCATCTCGACCATTTATAAACCGAATTGCAAACTTTTTTATTTATAATAGTATATTAAGTATGGAGAACGGTAAGGGATTTTTACCGTTCGAAGACAATTGTTTGGAGGAGGAGCGAAGCGACGACTCCAATTATTGTCTGAGAACGGTAACCCTTAACGTTCGACGTGCTTATAACATTTTTTGCGCGATCGAAATTAAAATTATCCAACCAATATAACTATGCACTAAGAAATTAACGAGCAGAATAAATCGAAATGTTCGAAGTGGTCTGGTGTACATCACTAGGCAACCAGTTTAAATGTCAAAATTGAAATTAATAATTTCAGAAAAATGTGCATGTGTCTGATGTAGTTTACTACCTTTGCACTTCCTTTATGACTTTATGAGCGTCTTGCTATAGGAAACAACAGCACAAATTGTACGTTTAATGTACCTAACAATAATTAAAGATTAAATGTAATGTAAGACTGTTGATTTTTAAAAAGGCGTCGGTAAGTATTTTTGCTGTTCTGTTTTTAGATCGGTAAGTAATTTTGGCGTCGTCGTAATCATAGCAACTGGTAAATTCTACGTACTGTCATGGAAACACCCATGGTAAATAGTCAGAAATGACCGATCGCGCAAAAAAGTATTTGAATGAAATATTGATACATAGGCACTGAAAATCTAACGCCAGTTTCAAAATTTGGTTTTGCGCATGCGCAGTGCGACCTTTTTTTTTAATTATGGAAGCATTTAAATGAAATTCCATGGCATCACAGATTACTGAAAAATATGGGAGTTTTATTTTTCCAATTTTCCGTTTTTATTATGCAAAAAATTGAAAACTAATACGGTTGATTGGCGTAAAAAAAATTGAGTGCTAGAGGGGATCAAAACGAGCACTTTTTCCAAATAAACCGAGGATCCAACTGTTTCGTTTGGGAGTCACCCCCAAAAAGGTGGCGAAATTTGCATTTCTTTGTTAAGCTCGCGGAGTTTCGACGAGATTAAAATGTTACCTTTGAATCTTGTAAATATAAATCCAGCGTATTCAATGGAGCGAGCCAACCACTACTACTACACCAGAAAGAGAATAACTCTAAACATAATAGCCAATACATAAGGCCCTTTTCAGGTATAAATAAATAGAAACAACGGAATAGGATCCGACACATGACCTAGAGAATGATATACGTTGAATTTAATTATATTGAGCCCACAGTTTTTCATGTTCCCGATTCACTCGAAGTCCTATAACTTTTGTTCCTGTAGAGCTAGCTGAAAATCAATAGCGTCCTACTCAAAGTACACGTACATCAAATTTCACGGTCGGCCAGTTTTAAAAGGAGTGATAGTGCATACGGACAGACAGACAGACGGGTGGACAAAAATTAAAAGCTATAAACAGTATCTGGGTTAAGAGTTATAGCGAACACAGACGAACGGGCGAAAGGGACGGACAACCATACAAAACTATAAAGGATCTAAGGATTCTTAATAAATGAGTACACTAAAGGTGTATTACAAGTAACCACTATGATAGCACATTCTTCTCTGATAAAGAACAATTACACCTTGCACGCAATCCAGGATTAAAAAAGAAGGGAAAGATTTGAATGCAAAAAGGTACATAGTGTGACCTCTAGTGACAAAAGAAAGAACTAAGGTAAATGAAACCGATAACACTCAACTTACTATGTCTAAACTTAATGGATTTACAGAGGAAATGCATAGATGGTATAAAGCTTACAATGCGATTATATGATTATACCGCGTGTCGAACTATTAGGGGCTCAATTCTCACGATACGTTTTTGAATCACTACAGAGTTGGGCGGCGGAGTAGCAGGGTTCGCGATTGTGTAGGTCGTCTTTGCAGTGTCGCGGGCACAACTGCTGAGTCGCTTAGAAGCGCTACCACCGTTTGCGACGTGCTTCTCCGGGCCCAGCGCAAATAAAATAAAATTGCTGACACTTTTAGTGCATCGACGTGGGCGCGCTCCTTAAACAAGACACTATTTAAAAAACAGCGGTTTCTCTTGGTACATGCGCTTTCTACGCAAAAAAGTTGTCTTGCCTTGCGTGGGGGCGCTATTAAACATCGAATCGCGAATCGCGCCGTGTGAAGGGTTCACGCTATCAGCAGCACGTTTGTTTAGCGGAAGTCCGCTACAAATCGCTCAGACGCGCGATATTTTACATACCTACCCACACCTGTAAATAACAATATAATTTTGAGTCCCCTCAGACACCATGACTTAGATGGAAGGAAAGGTTTACCACCATTCTTTTTATTTTCCAATATGAGCCTAATGTTATGCAACGATCACGTCCTTCATTTTTAATTTGACTATCTTAACTATGCATGTCGCATACGTACCATAAATGTTTTAATTTGACCTGTTCATTTTTATTAACCAAAAATTAACTTTCCTGATAGGAATATACGAACGCGTCATACCCATCGACATATAATAAATGGAGTGCGCGCGCCAATGCCAAGCACGGATACTGTAAGGGAGAGAGAAGGGAAAACTAAGAGGACAGGCTCTCTCTTACTGTTACGCATCTGATTGGTTCTTTCAATTTAGTTTGAATGCGATTCTGATACGCAATGAAAAGCGTAACCGTAAGAGACAGCTTGCCTTCTTAGTTTTCCCTTCACTCTCATCCCTCTCATCTGCAACATCCGTAGTATTAGCGCGCGCAGTCTATTTTCTAATGTCGATGCTTATATCATTATCTACAACCTTACTTTTCATTAAAGCAATAAACATAAAGTTTTTTTTAAATAGTAACATTTAATTGGTGTTTAATGTCATGTGAATTGATTATAAACAAATTTAGTTATAAGATCCAGAGTCCACTCCGGTTGATCGCGGGGAATCATGTGACCCGCATTTCTAACCAACACCTCCGTTAAATTTCCTGCCTGCTTGATGTACCCCGCTAACTCATTATTTACATACCAAAAGCGTCTGTCCCGCGATTTATATTCGTCAAGACTGGAAAAATTAAGTTTTTGAAGGAAATTTGTTACCCCCGTCCACGGAACTATGATATCAACTTGACCACAGTAGAACATCATTCTGTAATTGTCAAGCAACTCCGAAATCCAAGGCGCAACCGATTTAGCGAGATCCTCTGTCAAATGTTTGTCGACCATAGTGGTATTATGAAAGGGGGAATTTCCAACATGGATAGCCCTTCTAACATCATCGCGTTGAAGGTACTGAACATGGTACCGTAAAGAACGGTCTTCTAATTTTAAGTAATTCATTGGTTCTTGAAAGCCCGTCACGTTTTGGAAGAAGGTGTTATCACGTAAGTCGTAAATCAGCTCAGCAAATACATCTGCAGCAGCTCTCCAATCCTTCTGCTCAATCGCCTCCCTGCTTTTCCGCTCTATTTGCTTCATTTCTCTTCGCAATTTAGAATCAAGTAGACCGATTTGGTAGAGATAATCGCTGTATTTCAACTGATTCAATGGATCCGAAAAGGCGCTTGCAATTGCGACTCCCTCCAAGCGAATCTTGCTTCCCTCCTTTTTGTTTTTCAGAATTGTATAGGCGACGGCCGGTGCGTACTTACCCGCGTAAGACTGCCCGGTAATAAAGAACTTGTTGTTCCCTAATTCTGGGAACAGGATGAAAAATTGGGAGAGAGCTTCGTGCAGTTGCTCGCCTATTACTGATTGATTGTGTGCATAACCGCCATCATCCGTAAAACTGAAGCCGGTTCCTACGGGATTGTCTACGTAAAGCATGGAAAATTTCTTAGTCCAACGGTGCTCGCGTATTTCTATTTGGTACGAGGAATTTACTTCGAAAGGTCCATGCTCACCGAAAAGTCCCGTCATCGATGAAGAACCTGGGCCACCTTGCAGCCATAACAAAACCGGAGCGTTCAAATAGTTACATTCGGAGGGAAAGAACCAAAAAAACGTGTTCGAATTATAACGCTCATTAACTGTCAGATACCCAGAGTAACTTTTAATGTCGCGAAATTCGTCGAATACAACTTCCGCTTGTAACTTTGCCTCTTCAACGTTGAATGACTTTATTAAAGGTGTTAACATTAAGGGCTCTTGGTAAACGTTCCGTACACTTTCGCTCGATACCTTCCAATTATGTAACAACACAACGATAAATAATGGCACAAGTTTATTAAGCATTTTTGCGATTACTGAGAAAACAGATGTGTATCTACTTTAAAATATAAAAGTCGTATAAATAGACGACAACAATAAGTTGTTATTTAATGATGATCGCATAATAGTTTGATCTCTGACACGTATTTAATCCGTATCATGACCTGTTAGTAGTGTAGAAATCGGCATTGTGCCATTTATTTTTAGCGTAACACAACGAGGCTGAGGTAACGCTTATGTGCACGATTTTCCGTCGTCTGTCTGTCTGTCTGTTCCATCGAGCTCTCAACCAACATTGGCCCAAAAGGTTTATTCTCACCCCCCCCCCCCTTTTATGGCTGGATAGAAATACGTTTCGCTAGATTAACTTATTATAATTATATAATAAATAATCAATTTGCGTTTCAATGTTTTTCTAAGTCTCGTTGTGAAGTTATGGAAATGAAGCTCGTCGTGCCTGCGTCCTTTGATTTCTGTAGAGCTTTGTTTTTTTAACAGCTTTGATGTCTGGCGGCTATTTAGATTGTATTCAGTTATATTAGTTTGAGCTATTTGATTACAACTGCGAGCGTGATTTCATGCAGCAGCGTGCAAACTGCAAATTTGGAATATTGACATGTAAGTGGGATATGATTAATCACCCTGACTCTTACTTGATTGGTAGTGCAAAATTTAAGCAACGAATTAACAATTAATCATGGCCGCCGTCTTCTTTAACAATATGGCATTTTGTGGGTGGTCATTAATTAAGATTAAGTTGAACTCATCCCAGGAAGATTAACATGCATTCACGCGTAAACCCACGACATGTCCAGAGCGTTGCTCAGCCGTAAAAAAATGATTTCGAGTTTTGACTACGAGGGTAATCGGTGAAGTAGTTTAATAATTTCCTTCGCATAACTGGTTTATGGTTAAGGACAAACGAATTAAACGCATCAGTATATTTTCGTTACGGTAAGAAGAGCTACTGTTAAGTTTCGGTGTTAATTTATGTATTCGTTTAAACAAAGAGTGAAAAATCTATGAATTTATCGGAAAAGTTTGTCTTTGAACATTTTTTTTCGCATGTCAAAACCCTCAGAAAAGTACATTAGACGAGATTGTGAATATGAGTTATGTTAAATATCAAAAAAACCTATAAAAACTGTTGGATTTATCCTGTTGTGATAATAAACAGAATTGCGCTTGCCTGTAACTGTTAAATCCAAGGATCAACAATTCGAAAAAAATTTATCCCGAGGGCCCCGACTACTTGGACAATTAGTGGAAGAGAAAGTTATCCGACGGAAACATTCTCAAGGTATATTTCCGCTAATTAATCGTGTACATCATTGTTTCTGTAAGGAGAGTTGTCTCCAGACTACGACATTTTCAGTCATCTTTCTTAAAGAGCTCGATCTAATAGCATTTGAAGCCGTTTTTGTATTGCATGCCCTTTCTATTTAAAAGTTAGTTCGAATTGGACTTGTTTAGATAAATAGAATAAATGTTGTTATTTAAAGCTGGTTCGTTCAAATTTTAACAAAGAAAACCTCCAATTTAGGGCCCACTATGGTTGTTGTGTGTAGAAAATTGTACCGCATCTGATTTTTAGGTTCCTCATCATAGAGAAAATTAGTATAGAAAAATGTTCAAATCTCGCCCAAAAGTTCGAATCGCCATTGGACATAGGAACAAAAAAAAACTTAGCTGCAATATACGGCCGTTTGTCAAATCCACAGACACCTCTAAGATACTTCGATGGTGATCTGATTAAATCACAAGAAAGGGCTTGACTGTCGCGATCTTCCGTTAATAGTTGTCGGACAGCTCCTTCACAATGGTGGCTACTCAATCAACACACGACTTCCTTCCACGAATGAAGCTACATGCAAATCCCAACGTTTAAATACGGTACGGTATAACAAGAACCCCTTCCGAAGAATCCTCTCGGAACAAGAACCGATACAAATAAACCTCACATGAAACAACCAAACGCAAATTCGGAATAATCGTTACCTTCAGGAAGAAACGGATGACTCAAATTAAATTGGCTAAGCACGACTTGTTCCAATCTCGGTAAGCCTGTCCGTAAGTAACAAAAAAATTGGAAAAATGTCAGTTTCCCGTCAAACGACATCCAGATAATCCTCAATCCGTTTTCTACAAACTAACCAAACGGATGTCCCGATTTTGAACCGATTTCACGTTATACGCAAAATCCTTCAGGTGCCAACAGAAATTACAAAATCGCCATCGCTCACGAAGATAAGCACCAATAATCATACTATGGGCAAAGATAATGCGCAATACTCCGATTAGCAAGCGGATCTGGCATCAGCAGGATAGTTCGCACCTCCAAATGCAATATGGTGCTTATGGACATAATATAATAATAATATATTTAATGTCCAACAGAAAAAAAACAATTTCCAATTAAAATTGTTGTTGGACATACAGTGCATGTTTGCCAAACGTGACAATTGACAGCACAAGGAGATTATGTTTTGTTTTAATACTTCAATTTAATCGTATGTCAATGTGACATCAATGCGGTTAGAAACAAGCATAAGCAATTAGTCCATAAGACCCCATACTGCATCTGGAGGTGCGAACGCGCTATAGTTAATTTCGTGATATGTCGCGACTTTCTGGTGCCGCTAACTTTCGCACGCATTTCACTGACCAGGACCGTACTCGGAATTCGGAAACTATTCGCCCAAAAATTTGGAAAAAAATTATTACTTTCTTAACTATAGTTGTACCTACGAGTAACTATTATATCACCATTTTTGTGGTTATTATTTACACACCTTCACACCTAATATTTTCAATTTGTTCAAACGTTCATAATTTATCGATTTACATGGTGCTAATTAAATTGAGCGTATGTAGGTAATGAATCATATCAAAAACTCATAACTGACTTTAGCGTTTTTATTGCGGCGAATTTTCGCAGCTTTACATATTTCGCTTATTGATCTGTTACTTATTTTTCGACCCCGTTTCTTGTTTGGCGAATTGCGCATTCCATCACATGTTTTGTAGATCTGACATCCTCACTGTAGGAAAATTTTCGCAAACGTACCACGTGGGTTTCTGATATCGCTCAGTTCCTATTTCTTTGCTTTCACCAATATCAGTATTTGTATTCATCTCAGGGAGAAAGGAACACAAACTCAATATTGTCGCCTTAATTGCTTATACCTTTTCTTTATAAAGTATACCTAAATCGATCTCATGGCTTGTTATTAATGTTTAATTTTATTGGGTAAGAAAGGAAAATTGTTCGATCCAATGATGGCATGTTTTCCGGTCTGAAATTTGTAAGGCGACGTAAGCATTCGAGAAATGAGGTTTTACTATCTGGAAAAAGATCAGTACAAATAGAAATGAATAACGTTTTGGCTTTTTTCTTCTTAGTTCATATAGTTCCCGAGGGACTCAAGTTGTACATGGATTTCAAGCAAGCGAATAAAAAGTGGGTGCTGAGAGAATATCCTCCTTCACAAAATTTAAATTCTGGTTTGTATCCAATTTCCTCTTACCTACTTCACTTTGTAAAAAAATCAATCAATTCAACGATTAGTCTTGTATCACTTATACTCCTATGATGTCGATTTTATTACACAAGCGACAAATTGCTCGCTCAATCTTCAATTACAGATAATCGCTTTCAATTTGTCGTCTCGAAAACTTGCCGCCATACCACTCGTAATAATACCATTCCCAAATAAAGTGTAAATATGTCTAGACCGGCGACGCGAATTGATTTGAACAAAGCAGATAATAAAGGTACAGTACAGCGCCACCAACAGAAAAACAACGCGTTCGTGCGTAAAAAAGGGAAATGCTAGACACTACGTCTCCGTTATTGTAGCTATATTAGTACACTCCGAAAGTGTACTTTAATAGCTCGCACCTTTTATTAATCAATTTTACAATTTAATATTGCGTTAATAAAGTAAAGTTCTATTGCTTCTAATGTGAAATAGAATATAAGGGTATACAGTTTAAGAACCAATAAATATTCATTACGGTCATAGATCGTGCCTACACAAAACTCAACTGTATAATGAAAGTAATAACATGTTTCGAGTGTGTCTAATTCATTAGCAGCTAACGCAAATATTAAATTTAGACGGTAGTATTATTTATTTTGCTTGTCTCATTCGTAGTTTGCGCGTTTGGATTTTAATATATGACTCCACGATTCACGAACCTACGTTGGAGTAATTTAGAGCAATCTGTATTGGTTGAAGTGTTGCTAAACTTGCTGCAGCTTTGCAAGGTAGGTTATTAGCAGCTGTCAGTTGAGGCGGGAATTTGTCCCTAAATCTGGTTCAGTGAAATAGAAACGAGTCATTTCAGCCCTTCAGTACTTATAGTTACCGTGCCACAGGCAAACCTCTGGAATTCGTTTTAGAAGGACATAGTTCGTGAAAAAGAAGAAAGAAGTGAAGTTTAAAAGCCTATAAAGTAAATACTTGCGGGTTCTGGTTAGGAATGGAATTTTAATGCAAATGTAAATAAAGTAAATTAGTATATACTGCATTACGTGTGTATATTATGTTTAGGGAAGGTAGGGTTGCCGAGGGCGTTTGCTGGTAGTGTGCTCTATGTTTCAATAAATCCTTCTCTGGCGATCGTAGTACATACTAGGATTCTGTAGCCGGTCCGTGCAGAGATGGATGTAGAACCCTTTTCACTTTGATTGAATTCAGTAACTAGAACGCATACGGAACTCCTGGTGCACACACATTAAAGGTATTTATGAACAATTGTTCTATCGCGCTGTAGTTTTGCCGCTTTTCTGTCGTGTTACCATTTGCTGTTGATAGCCTCGTTATAATATATATTTGAACTAGCGTCATAGTGTATTGATTTAACTAAAAACTATTGAAATTGCAATGTTG